GCAGTGTCACTGGCCCTCATATGTGGGATCCGAACCCGGGCCCTCTGGTGTCCCAATCCAGCTCTTAACCAATGCACCACTCGGCTGGCCCAAAGATAATTTTGATGGTGTAATATGCTTATTCTCTTTCATGTAGGCTCAGGTCCTCCTCAGTTTGCAGATTTCACAAGCAAATTCCTTTTCTTTTATTTTCTGCAGAGTTGACCCCTTATTTGGGATGTGTGAAAAATTTTTACAGGAAGTGGACTTTTTTCAAAGGTAAGTATTTCATTACTGTTCCAGCTTGTTCTGTTTTGGTTATGCAGAGAATAGCACTTATAGAGTGACAAGAGCAATCACAAGCAAGAATTCTTAGGTTAGCCCATGCAGTCACGCTATTATTTGTGGCCATGTGACCTAAATTGTGTATTTTCTTTAGTGGTGTATAAACTTCTCTAACCTTACTTAGCTTCAAACCTAAACCTACAACAATAGGATAATAAAAACATCAGAAATCATTTGCATTCAGTACTCAGCTGGGCCATAAAAATACAAGTATTATGTGGGAAAACTCATAAATCTTTTGTTGCAAAGGCACAACTTGTCTGTTCTTACTTAAACCACTGTTAGATTTCTCTGTAATCTACAAAAAAATTGTTCCATAATTCTGTGGGTAACGTATTTTGTAGAATAGATGTGTTTTCTCAGAGTTCTGTCGAAAGCAAGTCAGTTAAAACAGATGCAGTAGATGAGTGGAAGGCTTGGTGAAGTAGTGGGAGTCCAGGTAGTGACCAGACATGTGGTGTGCTAGCAATAGAAAACTGGGAGGAAAGCATTTATAGAATTTTAAAGCAATCAATTAAGTCTGATATTTCATTCTGCCACCCTTTGTCCCAACCCCCATGAACTTTACCAAACCTGAAGTTTATATGACTACACGTATTCTTTTTTTTGTTTGGGTGATGACAACTTCCTATAGGGCTGGGTTGCAATACCACCCTTTACCAATAGGTGCTGCTCTCTAGCAAATGGTGCAGTCTACCTTGGCTCTTTAAGATTCTGGCTTCAAATCTGAACCAAGTTCATGCCTTACTTTTGGTTTTAGATTATTTAAAGTAGTCTGATTTTGCACAGTTGGGTTGAAGAGATTTTTGGAAAGGTGACAGCTCTGAATTACCAGAGTTCCTCATCTATTTGGAGTTGCACATTCTTTCTTAATTCAGCTTCTCAGTCTCCACTGATGTCACCTCCTCAGAGAAGTATTATTTGACTATCCCCTTCCATAAGGTAGAACTACTATGGAATCAGCCAGAGCTGGGAATAAGTTACTTACCTTTTAAAGTCTCAATGCAACATCGTTCTCTCTGAGTCTCAGTGTTCCTATCACTTGAATATAAGCTCCATTAAGATAAGAATTTTCTTCTCTTTTGCCCACAGTTATGTCCCCAGTGCCTAGGATAGTATTTGGCACTTGGTAAGACCTAAAGACATATTCGTTAAATTAATGAATCTATATATGAAAAAAATAGCTCTAACACTACACAGGAGTTCTGGGAGGATTAAATAAGATAATGTAAAACATTTAAGAGTATACCTTGTATACAATGGGTTTTCAGTAAACAGTCTTTTATGATCATATCACTAAGATGTAATTAGCTAGGTACCTGGCCATCTCAGTCAGGAATCATGAGCTCCTTCAGTTCATCACTTTTCCTACCATGGGGCTTAGCAGATGTTCGGGGCTCAGCCTGTGGCAAGTGAACGCACAGTCATTTGCTTCTGTTTGTTCCTCCAGGTGTTTCATCACTGATTTGCCCCATCTGCAGGACAGCTTTGTGGACAAACTTCTTGACCTTATGCCCCGACTCATGACTTCCAAACCTGCAGAAGTGGTCAAAATTCTACATACCATGCTGCGGCAGAGTACCTTCCTGCACCTCCCCCTTCCAGAGCAGGTCAGGATCTGTGCCGTGTCCCACCAGGCCTAGTCTGTGCAGACAGTTAAAGCTGCTCACCTTGGTAACCTTCTTTGGCCATTGGAGGAGCTGGGCTAGGGCCTGTCCTCAGATTGGCTCCCACATGCCCACCCATTAGCTAAGGAGGCAGCAAGACAAGAATTATGTTTTGTTGCCCAGGGATGACCTGGGGATTTAGAATCATTGTATTTTCTCCTTGCTTACAGATCCACAAAGCCTCAGCCACCATCATTGAGCCGGCAGGCGAGTCCGACAACCCTTTGCGGTTTACATCTGGGCTGGTGGTGGCCCTGGATGTCGACGCAACCCTGGACCATGTGCAGGATCCCCAGAGCACTGTGAAGGTCCAGGTCTGTCCGTGTTTGGTCCCCCAGAGGTTGAATACTGACTTTGTATTGAAGCATTTAACTTTAGCACCCCTTTAATCTCTACCTGATGGACAGAAACTGGGGCGGGAGATGAGATGAGCCTCTTTGGAGAGGAGCCTGGGCTTCAATCCCAGCTCTATTGCTGAACCTCAGGTTCTGCAGCTTACAAGCAGGAACAGTTGACCCTGAAATGAAATGTTGTAGGTAAAGCCCCTGGTACCCAGTAAGTGTTCACAAAATGACAGGGCCCTTTCCGTTCTTATAATGTGAGCTTAAGACTTGGTCTTTTCAGGGCTGCAAGCAAGTCATTTTCAGGCTGTGAGTGGGTCAGCTTGGTGAACAAAATTTATAGGTAGGAAAAATCAATCACTGGGGAGTACTTTAAGTTAGAAACAGATGCATCAAAGACGTGAGAGTTGCAGTAGACAGTCTCCAATGAAGCCCATTAAAAAGTACTACCCACTTATCCATCCATTCATTCTTCCTTCCATTCATCCATTCTTCCTCCCATCCATGCAGTAATGTTTACTCTACTGCACATGCTATGTGCTAGTGTTGCAAAGGTAAATACGTCATAATTTCTGCCCTCAGGCTGCTCAGTTTCACTGAGAGACAGACAAATGGTTCTGGTCGAGAGAAAATTACTTTTCCTTGCCTACAGAGCTATTTCCAATTTTTGACTAGTATAAAAATTTGAAATATACTTAAAAATATATTTTTAAAAATACTCTGGAGAGGCACTTAATTTGGAGAGTATGGTGGAGGCTAAGGGAAAAAAGGCTTTGTGGAGCTGCTCGTGCATGGTGAGGTCTGAAAGGATGAGTAAGAGCAAAGGATAGGGCCAAAGGAGGTATTCTAGGCAGAGGTACATGAATAAAAGTAGGGATGTAAGCACTAGCATAAGTGCAATCAGAGGACAGATAGCCTGGAGCAGGCAGGGAAAGCTTCCTGGAAGAGGCAAGGATGAATCCGGCCATGAAGATGGTAATATTTGCCTATGGTTGCAGTAATCTGGCTTCGCATCATGTATTATTATAAATTTTGAGACCCACAGAGAACTAATTCTGAGCTGGCTGTGCGGTTGTGCTTCAGTTGGTTTTAGGGTTTGGGGTTCCCCCCCACCCCCTCATGATAGTGGTTTTCCACCCTAGCTGCACTTTAAAATTATTCAGAAAACATTAAAAAGTACTAATGCACAGGCCTCAGCCTATACCAGTTACATCAGAATCCTAAGAGTAGGGCCCATGGATACCAGTTTGGTGTTTTGTTTCGTTTTGTTTTCGTTTTTTAGCTTATATGTGATGCTAATGTGCAGTCATGATTGAGAACCACTGTTTCACATTGTCCCTGAAAAAAAGTTCACTGACCAACTAAGCATAAATGAGATTATAGGCAGATTATTTAAGGGTCATCTGCTGAACTCCACTGAAAATTCCCTTCTAAAGCAGCCCCACTACACTCATGGCTAAACTGTTTGGATTCCTCTATAGTCGGGGAAATGGGAAAGTCAGGGAGATAGCACTCAGCTCTGTTAATTGGAAAGCACTGTCTCATCCAGCCACCGTGCCGAACACCACTTCTGTTCTGGACAGTGCTTTAGGTGCTAGGGATATAGCAGTGGACGTGACTGAGATTGTATCCAGATTATATTCTCTGTTAAAATAACATTCTTTAAAGCAGACCCTATAGGAACTCCTTTCAATAACACTTCAGTTAGCCTAATTCAGGCCTACTATGTTATACCTGATGATAGAAGAGGAGTGGTTTTTTTCTTTTTTTTTTTTTAGTTTTTCTGAAATTCACAATGTAATTCATAGGGTCATTTTCTTGCCCTGATCTACGTGGGCCACAGATGTCTAAGCTGCACTTGGGAGCAGTAGAGGAATGAAGGAAGGCTTCCAGCAACCATTTCACAGAGGGATGAGGCCTTTCACCAAGGGCAGTTTTGCTGAGAACTCTGAGAGATCCTGCCACGTTTATCATTTTCTTTCCCATGCTCATTACTGTTTTAGCCCTCTCCTGCCTCTCCTTTAAAAAAAAAATGAAGCCCAAATATTTTCTTTAAAGATAACAAGGATTAGGAAGCTGGAATAACTGCATCTTTCTGCTGTAGTAAGTTTGGGACCTGCAGGTAGAATGGTGAGTGGCAGCTTTAAAAAAGAAGGGTAGAATCGGGGGGTGAGCGCTAACATCTGAGGAACAATGAAATGAGATTATGGGGCAGGTGGACTGAGACATGCCTCCGAGTTTCAAACTAAAAAAGACCCGTGAGGTTCCCTTCTTCACCCTCATCAGTATATGCACACAGCGCAGGTCCTGTGTGGTTGTAGGGGAAACTTCATTTGTTCATGTAGTTCCTTTGTACACGGTACAGTGTAATAGGCCCTCTCCACAGATAGCTGTGGGGGTCCCCTGGGATGCTGAGAAAGGAACTCTGGGCAGTTTGTGAGATTTGAAGCACTCACTGGCCAGTGATTTAAGCAGACTCTCATTGAGCACTGTCTCTGTAGAAGGACACAGATAAACAGCTTCCCAGCTGCTTATAATCTAGCAGAGAGGATACAGTTACAAAATTACTGTTACTACTTGGTGTATGGTGATGGATGCTGGTCCATGACATGATTGAGAGCCATGGAGGGAGAGTCACCCTGATGAGGGTGCCTGGGAAGGCTTTTCACACCAGCATTTATATTTTTACCTATCCTGGTACTTTGTTAGAGACACTTTATTTCTCTTGCTTGTTCACCATGAATTCAGGAAACATGTACCAAACGCTGTTTTGTGCTGGGCGAGGGGGTATAGATGTCAGTAGTATTGCCCTCCCCTCAAGGAGCAGTCTTTTGTGAAGGCTGGTGTCACCTTTTTCTACCTCTTGTTTTGGTGTTCATAAGAGATGTCACCAGTGATTTTGTTAAAAGCTCATGGATGCAGCTCTTCTGCCTCTTTTTTTTTTTTTTTTTCTTTGTATCTGTCACCTCGCCTCTTAGGTCTTATATCCAGACGGCCAGGCTCAGATGATCCACCCCAAGCCTGCAGACTTCAGGAATCCTGGCCCCGGGCGGCACCGGCTCATCACTCAGGTGTATCTCTCCCACACTGCCTGGACAGGTAAGGAGTCAATGTGCCGGGGTGGGCAAGAAAATATACTCCTGGGATCACACCCACCCATAGGTGTTTGGTTTTTTGCATGGTTGACTCAGGCCTGCTGAGGATTATATTTGATTTCTTAAGGAGCTTAAAATCTCAAACTAGGTACATTTAGACTAATTGGCTGCATTGCTTTGATTGCTCAAGACAAGATTTTGTCAGAAGATACCATATTTTGCCATGTCTAATGTGCACTTTTTTACCTAGATTTGCGAGGGAAAAATGAGGATGCACATTATACATGGGTAGTACTAATTCCATATCTATATAAATGTTTTTAATTCTTTTATTTATGCTTATGAGTTAAAAGTGTACCTCTAGAAATCAATAACAATATCCATATCCAAAATAATACCATGGAATATGATAATCGATTTCATTGAAATTACAACAAACTTGCAACTACAAAGAATTCTTGGCCCTCTATGACATGTAAATAGCGTTAATTTGTTACCGGTACATAAAATTTCTTGTACCTCGTATCTGCTGTTGTTTTGTAATTATTTGTTACATATAATTTCTTGCCCCATAATGTTAAAAAATAAATGCTAAAATTCCTTTATAATACAAAAACAAGTATCTAAATTTAAACAAATAAAAATTTGAATTAAAACGAAAACTGTTTTTTCCTGAAAGTTTGGTCCAAAAACTTGGGGACTTGGGGTGTGCATTATACACGGGAGCACATTATACATGGCAAAATGTGGTCACAGATTAGAGTAGAATGGAGTCTCATGGAAAGAGCCATGGAGCTGGATGCCTGGAGACTATTGTATTTTCTTTCCTACCCCTGCCACTGACTTGCTGCGTAACCTTGGACAAGCCACGCTCCCTTCTAAATCTCTTTCCTCGCCTTTCAAATGAAGATGATAATTCTCTATCTACTAGTGAGTCCTGATGATTGCTCTGGTAATTAAACGGTTTTGTATTTCTTACCAGAAATTTAAAATCATTCTCTTTTTGTATGTGAAAAATTCAGTTCATTCCCCCAAAACATGTAAAATGACAACAGTTATTGCCTTCCCCTCCTACTTGGGCTGGTTTGTGGGGTAATGCAAAGTAAGATAATCTATTCAGGCTTTACCCTCCCATACAGGGGAAATTATTAGAGCCTCAATAATTTGTGAAGACAGGAAAGGTGCATAATTATTTTTTTTTAATTTATAAGAATAAAATGGGAGAACACTAGTGCAAAAGACATTGCATTTCAAGCTTGTAAGGCTGCTTTGGAAACTTTAAAAAGAGATACTCAGTCTACAGAACCTAAAATGGGGAGAATTGGCCTCGCTGGTATCTCCTAAATCATTCAAGATGATTCAGAAGCATGGTTGTTACTGGAGAAGGTGTTTAATTTGGTTTATTTTAGAAATAGATAGATGCCTTCTGGAATTTTCTTTCACTGCATTTTTAAATACATGAATAACTATTTAATGCCATTATTAATGGTTTTTCTCTATCAGGGGTGTTAGGTTATAGCTGTTAGTTTTAGATTTCTTTATGAAGTTTTCACAAAGAAGAAGTGGTGCTATTGAGACTATCAGGGCAGCCCCTTCCGGGGGTCTGTTGCCCCTGGCACAATTGAGGGAGCACCCAGCAATGCTTTTACCCAGGCTCTGCCTCCCTTAGCATCCCTCATCCCATATCCTTGCTGCCTGTAATGTTACTGCACTATTTGCCAAATCTCTAGCCCCACAGGAAGGTAGAATTCCTTATTCTAATCCCTTCTGTTGAATGGATCCTAGATAGGGAAAATGCTATGAGACAACATTGTTGTGGAAGGGTCAAGGCTCAGCAGGAGGCGGGGAAATCACAGGTGCTGGAGCTCAAAAGAGCCCGAAAGGTCCTGTGGGGCCTACTGACTTGCCCCTGGTCACATCGCAAGTCATTGCCTGAACCAGGGCTATAATCCAGGCTGTACTGAGCCTGCAGAATTATAATTCATCCAGGATTGCCTCCTGAGAGAGGTTGTTACCCAGTCACTATTGTGAATCTCTGTTTTAATTCTCTGCACAGCACTTACTAGTGTCAGATGTTTTTTCATTTGGTTTTTTTTTTTTTTTTAGATTTTATTGGGGAATTTGGGGAGGGGAACAGCGTTGGGGAATCAGGGAAGGGGAACAGACAAGTTGCTGTCCTTTTTTTTTCTTCAGTCTAGTTGTGGAGGATGTTGCTCACTGGTTCATGTTGGTATTATCATTGCGCTCTTCCTGGGTGAGGCAGATTGATCGCCAGCCATTGGACGGCGGCTCTTGGCAGCTCACGCTGGCTGCCAGCCACTCACAGTAGCTTACAGCAGCCCACTGCAGCAGGGGCTGCAGCCTACTCCGTCACTGGCAACTCACGGGAGTCCAGCTCCAGGTGGAGCTGTTGTTCACCATCTTAGCTATAGAGAGCGCAGCGTCACTGGCCCTTGTGGGATCCAAACCGGGGCCCTGCTGCTCAGAGCTGGTATCCCAAGCCAGCTCTTAACCAACGCGCCACTTAGCTGGCCCCTGTTTTTTCATTTGTTTATTGACTTTCTGTCCAATTAGAATGTAGGCTCTTCCAGAACAAGGAGCTTGCTCATTTTTACCTCTGTATCCCCAATACCTCTATATCCTGTATCTATATCTATACCTGACATGTAGTAGGTGCTCAACAAATGATAAATTGAATACAGGACTTGAAATGTGCAGTTAAAATTCATTTAATCCTTAGACCAACTTTCTGGTGGGAATGAGTATTCTGTTCTTCATTTTATAGATGCATAAATGGAGGCCTACGTATCTGGTTCATGGTGACACTGAGGTTGGCACTCAGATTTCCTAACTTTCAAATCCCTTGTGTTTTCACTATGCCATGCTTCTGCTGAGCAGGGACACTAAAGTGAAACATGTTCACATTCTGAATGTGCCTGTGTCTCCTTGCTCCTAATCCAGGAGATGGGGCCTGGTATTGGTGGGGAGCTCCTCCATCCGGTTCCTCAGCAGCTCCCTACCAGTGGCCTTTCCCCTGGCAGGCAGGATGCTGCCAGTTCAGAAGCTGTGAGTCACATAGACCGGGTTCCATGTTCTGACTTCCTTGCTGTGTGATCCTGAAAAAGTTAATTTACCTCTCTGTCTTATTTTCCTTATCTGTAAGATGAGAGTAAGAATATATACCTCATAAGAGAGATAGTCTTCCAGAACATGATGAGTAGGTTTTGTCACAGATGATGTTTTGTCTCATTTCCCCAGTGCCCGTTTTGTTCTTCTCTCCTCACTCCCTTCCTCTGATGGCACTTGCTTGAATTGTCATTCTTACTACATGCTAGTGAGGAAAGGCATAATGACCAGGTAGGGTCATGTCCTCTGACCTTACCAGGGTTTGGCTGCTGAAAGTGTTGTGAACCAGAGCTGGGTTCTGGCTGGGGGTTGGCAAAAGAGGAGAACATAGTGCAGAGCTGATACTGGAGTGTGGTACCAGAGAGCAGTGCTGGTTTCATTACAGATACATTCAAGGCTGGTATAAGGCCCCATGTTACGTGGGCGTGTCCACACCACATGAACCCTGGGAAAGGGTGATGCTGAGGCTGCTCTCTGGGGTTGGCGAGGTGGCTTTCGCTGCCTGCAAGCCTTTCCATACCTGCAAGTCTTTCCCTTCCTGGAAGATGGCAATCCAGTCTCTGCTGTGATCTCTAGGGAGAGTCAGGGAGAGTTCTGGGGAGGCACTGAGAAACCCTCTGCCCTTGTTCTTTTCAATCCATCCAGCCCTTAGTCCTGCCATCTGAACTACTCAGCCTTGGACTCCTCTTTAAGACTTGCACCTTTTGCTCCAGACACACAAAATTAAGGACATCCCAAGTTCATACTATTCTAGCTTGGCCTTCACACTGGCACTTAGGTTTTTCTGAAATCCTCTCCCCCTTCTTCTTTATTGAAGCCATACTGTTAATAGAAAGATTAATATCTTCTGTTTATGAACTGGGCTCAAATTCTATCACTGGTATGGATTTGGGCAGTCAGTTAAAACCTCTCAGAGCCTTGGAACTGTTTTGGGATTGTGACAGTCTTTCATGGCGTGTCAGGGTAAGAATTCTTGGGGTTATGTGCTTGGCACAGAGCAAATGTTCTATTCCAAAGCCTTCCTGGGCTCCTCCTCAGTACTTCTTACAGGCTCAATTAGAGTGTATACTCTGCTCCATGCAACTGTCTCCTCAACCAAACAGTCAGCAACTGAGGGAGGGTTAGTTCCCTTCACTGGGGCCTGCTACCTGCAGACAGCAGATCAGTATCATAACGTCACGTCATATAAGAACGAAAGGTTTAATGACATGAATTTAGGTCCCTGAAACATGCACCTGTTCACTGGGGAAAACTTTTGGTCAGAACTATTTCCTAATTAAAGACCTCTTCTCCACTAAGACAGTAGAGTCAGTGGTGCATGCAGCCTGAGACCCGAGATCAGCGGCACAGGAAGAGCGCGGTGTTCTGGTCATGACAATTGGCCACATGCGTGTAGCTTATGGCCCTCTGTCCTGAGGCTAAAGGCCTCTGTAGAAGAGGGTTTTGTAGTTTGCTCTCTGCTCCTCAGTAGCAAGGAGCCCACGGAGACCCAAGGAGGAGGTGACAGCCGAGAAGCAGTGTGTCTGCAGGCTTGGGGTCAGCCACACAGGATTCTGGCTGGGAAAGTGTTTTTGTATGGTGGCGGGGAAGGGAAGGGTGTGGGCCGATGAAAAAATGTTCTTGAAGCCCTACTGCTTCCATCTTTGATGTTGCTTTCACCTGACATTTCATCCCAGTTCCTAGCCATGTTGTTACAGAAGATCTCTTTCCTCTTTTTTTCCCAGAACCATGCCAGGTGGAAGTGAGGCTGCTGCTGGCCTACAACTCCAATTCACGCATTCCAAAATCCCCCTGGATTGAGAGTGGTGAGATCTCATCCCAGGTGGAAACCGGCATCGAGGGCACCATCCCCTTCAGCAAGTCTGTAAAAGTTTACATAATGCCCAAACCCGCAAGGCGCTGAGTCACAAGCAGTCTCTGTAGCTGAGGCCTAGAAGGCCCTTCTTAGGTATCACAGTTGGGCCAGAAGCCTGGAGGACGTCACCTGGAAGAGGTATATAGGCATAAGGAGGAACATGTGACCCTTATGGTCTCATCCGGTATCAAACAGGATAAATTATTTTGTACTAAGAAAACTGAAACTTCCAAGTTTATCCCCTCCCCAAATCCCTCCCCATAATAAAATTGAGAAAACACCTTAAAGAAATGTGTGTGGCTATAGGGTCAACATTTATACTATATGCTTACATTCCTTGGGTGTGAAACAAAGATCCGATTTTCGAGCCACCTCCAAAGAGCTGTTTGTTGGAGTCACAATTTTGTTTCTGAAAGCACTCGTCTATTTGCCAGGGCCAACTCCCAAGCAGCTTTCACAGCTGTACTTTTTCCCCATAGACAGTTCCTGAATGGCCTTAGATGTCCGTTATCTCACTGAGAAGCGCCTTCCCGAACTCAGGCAATAGCTGGGCCAAAGACTGAATGAATAGCTGGAGAAAGAATCATTTTTATTCCTGAGGGAAATTCTTGGTCTTGCCTGCCGTTATCCTTAGACCCAAGATAATAGAGAAAGGCCATATTTTAGAAGAGAAACCTAGATTATGGGAAAGAGGGATCCAGTGTAAGAAGTAAAATCACTTCTCACTACACCTGGGATGACTCCAGGGTTCGAGCTGCATGTGAGTTAAAGGTGCAGCCGGGGTGTAAGAGTGGAAAATGCCCCAGAGATGTTACCCGTGAGGGCCCTGTGCTCTGTTCTTTACCTGTCATATAATCCTCACGGCAGCCAGGTGAGACTTAGAGTTTAAGTCACTGGTTGGAAAACTACAGCAAGCAGTAAAGCCTGTATTCATTCAAATCCAAGTTGAGGCCAAAGGCCTGAGCTGTCCCACCTCAAGGGAAGTAGATGCAAAAGAGCCTTCAAATCTTAGCTTGCTATGCCTCAGTTTCCTCATCTGTAAAACAGCAATAACTATAACAAGAATTGTTGAATGGGTTTAATTAAATAATGCTTGGTAGAATCTGAATATGCAGCCAGTCTAGACCATATTTGGTACTTGGAAATCTCATAAAAATAATAGCAAGATCATACTCAGACTTGGAGCTGGAATTTGAATCCAAGCATGTTTGACTTCCGGTTTCATGTACTTGTGTGTGCCTGGCAGTGTCGTAAGCCATTTACACGGGTTAACTCATTTAATCCTCCCAACCATCCTAGGTACTGTTGTCTTCATTTGATAAACAAGGCAATTGAAGTTCAGAGAATTAAGTAACTTGGCATAGGTCACACAACTAGTAAATGACAGAGCTGGGATTTGAACCCATACAGTCATAACTACTATAGAGGGATTAAGGGAGGAAAAATCATCTCTAGGGAGCTTCCTTTTCTAGTGTGCTCATCTATTTTGTACATCTCAAGGATATGCCCTCAGTGGGCTCTCAAGTGTCAACAGTAGATGCCCTGGAAAAAGTGCCTGCCTTGGGGATAAAATGAAGCTTAAAGCCAGACTGAAGAATACTGTGGCCGACACAAACATCTAATGACAGTTGCTGAGTTGGAGCATAGACGACAACATTAAGACCCATGGCTGCTGACTGAGCCCCTTATGCCATCGCTATAGCAAGCCTTCAAGGAAAGAATGTGTTGGGTCCTTTTCAGATATAGTGCTTCTTTTATAAAAAACCCTTCCAGGTTATCCCCCATTTTACAGGCGGGAAACAGAGGCTTTGAGCTAATCTATTGGGCAAAGCCTGGACTTGATTTTAGGTCTTAAAGCACAAAATTTAGTACTTTTTCCACCAAAGGTGGAGCCATCGTAAGGGGCAGATTTTGGCTGAGTGTCACTAAGTTTTTTAAGGCTGTGTAAGAATTGAATGGGCTGCACCAGGAGATAAGGAATTCTCATGCTGGATGTGTTCAAGCAGAGGTTGAAACAAGTTCCTGACAAGTTTGTTCTGGAGGAATTCAAGTATCATATGACGGGCTGGGCTCAACCTTTTAAATTCCTTTTACCCTGAAGTCTCAGGTTCTGTGAAATATGAGAATCTTGATTTTTCTGCATCTGGTTCTATACTTTTTCACTGAAGTGAAAAAAATGACCTTATATTACAAAGACCTGCAAGGGAGCATAAAGATCACTGTGGTGTGGCACCTTCATTTTACAAGTGAAGATACAAGCCCTCAGAGATCTAGTTAGTGGTGAAGCCAAGGCTAAAAGCCCGGCCTCCGGATTTTTAGTCCAATATGATTTTCATAACGGGTCTATCGTTCTGTTCTGTCTTTGTCCGCAGTCTACCATGCAACCAGCAGTCAAAGCCAGAGAAACCCTGGTGTCACTTTGCATTTCTTCCTCACCCTTCATATAAAGCCAGCCATTAAGTCCTTTAGATTCTGATCACTTAAATGATTCTTGACTCAATCCTCTTCTCATTATACTCACTATTAAAACTGATGCAGGCCGCCAGCATCTCTCCTAAAGTATGGCATTGGTGTCCTAATGATCTCCTTGTCTCAAATCTTGCCCCCTTCAGCCCATTCTTCACACAGCTGTCAGTAATCTTTCTAAAACTCAGAACTGATCACACCATTGCTCTGCTTAACCCCCTTTAAGTAGATCACTTCTGGTCCCAGGATAAAGTCTAAACTCCTATCCTTGAAGGCTCCTCATGCTCCTGCGGTTGTCTGCAGCCGCATACTCCCTGTCCCAGACATTCCCTGTACTTCTCCAGCTCTAGAGAATTACCTGCAGTTGTTTCCAGTTCTCACCTTGTTCTCTTGCCTCGGACCTTTGGACCTGCTGGGCCCTGGAATATGCTCTTTGGATTGTCTTCTGTGGTTCCTTCTCTTTAGGGCTGAGCCTCATTCTAGAACCTATCTGTGTCTCCTGTGGGCTTGGTGCATTGTTCCCACCTATACATTCTTCAAGCTTGGTATTTATTGCAGGTTCACAAACAGAAACCCCTAAAAAAGGTAGGTGACAAAAAAGGAGTCAAGAGGCTTAGAGGAAGGCAATCGAGACTGAAGAATCCGAGAGCACGCTCTCTGTCAGAAGGCAGTTACTAATCAGCTGCCCTCAGTTGTTTATAAGGTTGGGCCTGGTGGTGTCAAATCTGCCAGTTCTTTCAGAAAAGCCAGAAATCTGCATTTTCATGTAAAAAATACCCACATAAAAAATCTTGGTTACTAAGGCAGATGTTAAAATTACTCTGAGACAAAGTATGTTTCCAGGTAGATTTGTGCCAGTTTGCAACTTCTACATCATTGCTGTGTGTTTACATGTCTTATTTCTTCCAAATAATCTGAGTACCTGAACAGTGAGAATGTCTGTGGTGTATTTCCAGCATAGCTCCTGGCACATACCAGATAGGAAAGAATGAATAAGTATAAGAATCCAGAGCAAACGTAGTGCCATGCATGCCTGCAAAAGCCAGCCCTGAGATTCAAGTTTCTGGAAGGATTTTACATTTGGCTTTGACATGATTGACTTCAGCAAACAGAATTATGGGAAGACAGATACACATCTAGCAATTGGCAGACTTCTTAAGGAACTACTTAAGCAAGAGGAAATCAAGTGTGGGCAGTGAGGGCTCTGCAACCTACAGATCGTTACGACATGGACTAAGTATAGCGTCATGTGGAAAAATAGCTTCTCCAGGTTCTGTACAGTTCGAGTCTTGACGATGTAGAATGGATTCAGAAGTAGGGGCTGTTTATTAGCAATTTCTATATAGCGTTAATAACCTTACTTCCAGATACTTCTGTCTCTAAGAAGTTTGTACTAAGTTCACTTTAATGTGGAAACAACTACATAGGAACATTGATTACAATTACAATCACATCTAATTCAATAACCACTGTCTCACCTTGTTTGAGAAAAAAATTTTTTTGATTGCATCAATAGAAAAAGTCTGAATTTTATTTCACATCCCTCCTAGCTATATATATGTACCTAGCTTTATGACCTGAGGGAACTGAGACCTGGAAAGATCCTTTCGTCTGACAAATGGCTGGTTACAGAAAGGGCACTGAGCAGGACATCCCCAGACCTGGGTGTTAGGTGTGTGAGGATCTCACTCCCATGGCCTCCTAGAAGGTGTATGGTAAAAAAGATCAAGACACATCATTGGTTTCTAACTGGGTCTGCCACTTACTTGCTGATTGAACTCAGAAAAATTCCTTTACTTTCTATTCTGATGGGTCTTAGCTCATCTTTTCTTGTCAAGTCACATCTTAGGTTGCTGCTCTATGGATTGGCTAAGGGGTTAGGTCAGTGCCTAATTGGGCCAATCAAGTGACAGGATCATGTGGAGCGAAAATCAGCTTTCTGGGGCTGCTACTTCAATAAGGGTTGGGGGTGGAGCAATTTTGTTTGGTTATGGCTGTGATAAATATCATACCTAGTAAATGTCTAGTTAAAGAGTTGCCAAATATTTGTTTGGTGAATAAATGAACATCTCATTCTTTAAGATTTGGCTTGTGTTATATCCTTAGTGATGCCTGCCCTAATTTTCCATCCTGGTAGGATAGGTTAGTCTATCATTTGTGCTACCTCTGGATCTTGTACCTATTATATACATGTTAACACATTGTATCATTGTCTATTTGTCTGTCTCTTCCACATAACTCCTGAGGGTAGGAACTATAACTTATTAATTCCTGTACACCCAGCGCCCAGCAGTAACTGGTCATAAGAAAATTAGTAAGAGATTCTCTGAATGGGCAGGAAAGAGAATTACTGAATAAATGAGTGAAACTGGATATAGTTCCTTTGGGCTCCAGCATTCTATGAGTCTATGAAATCATAAGCTGCTATATTAAGAACCATAAAATGAAACTAACTGGCTTTACACAGCAACCCTATTAATAGATAATGACAACAGTGGATTCAATTTATTGAGTCCTTACTACATGCCAGGCAGTGTGCTAAGACTTTCTATGAATTACCCCATTTAATACCTACAGTAACTCCAGGTACTAATATTATCCCTGTCTGACAGATGAGAACAGTGAAACTCTGAGGATTAAATAAGTGCCCAGTGAATGGCAGAAAGCCACAGTTCAAAGTCAAGGCTATTTGACACCAAAGCTTATACTCGTAACTCTTTAAAGAGGGGGGACAAATGAAAAATAAGGTGATGCTGATAACTTATTATAGTTCTATCAGTCCATTCGAAGGTTTCACAATGGCCACCTGACGTTTCATAGAATAGACTATCCATGCCAGTAGTGACCATTAAAGGGCATCTAGTCCAGACCCACTGTTTTACATTGAGGACATCAGAGGCCCAGGGAGAACTGTCTGGAGAGGCTCAGATTTAGTCAGTCTGCCTAGAATCCAAGGGTCAGGGCATAGCTCCTTTTACTATTACTGAAGTGCTCCCGAAATTAACTCAAGGTTCTGCTCATGTCATCTGCACAAAGAGACTTTTCCTGACCACATATCTGAACTAGCCCCATCACTCTGTCTTCTTATTCTGTTTTATAATATTTTTCTTCGTAATAGTCTACCTACTTACATTATGTATTTATTCGTTTACTTGTTTATTTTCCCCACTAGAATATAAGCCTCATTAAAACAAGACTTTTAATAATATTTAATAATGTTTCTCTGGAGCCTATAGCAGGCCTGGCATATAAGGTACTCATATGAATTGATGGCTTAACATTCCAAAGCATCAACTGCAATGTGATTTTAATGCACTGAAATTTTTCTTTGTCCTTCAAAGAAGAAGGCTCTTTGCCTTTATTTTCTCATACTTCTGGCCTAACATTTATCACATTATTAAACTTTGGTAAACATGCATCTCCTCTCCTGATTATCCGCTTCCCCACCCCACAGTCCAGACAGGGACTTTGCCTTAGTCATCCATGCATCCCAAAGCGTAGCACAGGACTTGCCATGAGCAGCTGCTCAAAAATGCGTGGGGAGGCTGGTGTGGAGAGTGGTAAGAGTGACAGTCACAGGCATCGGTTGCTTCGTGATTTATTCTCCTCTTAAGGCTCCATCAGCAGGTGGAATGGAAGACCCCTCCCACCCTCACACCTTGGGCAACCAAGGCATTATACTCCTTCACTGCCTGCTCTGTCTGGAGGACCCGCACGTCAATGCCTTGTTTCTCGAGGTATTCCAGAGTTGATGAAGGTACCTGAGAAGAAGGAAAAAGATGAGTAAGTCATGGGGAAAGGGCCCTCCCGGGTTTCCTTTCTGCCATGAGGCAAGTATACTTTACAGAACTAGACAGTGACAACTGTCATTCCTCAATCATCCAGTGTGTCACCAGTCCAGAATTTGGCAGTGAGCTCCAAGGAGTCCAAAAAGCTTCTAAGAAGTTGACAGAAGGATCATCATATGCATGCATAAAGCGCAGATGAAATGGAAATGGAAAGAGCATACATTTTGGAGTCAGCTTTGGATTTAAGTCCTTGCTAGCGGTGTGACCTTCAGTAAGTGAATTAAATTCTCTGAGTCTTCGTTTCCATGTCTGGAAATAGGGATAATAATACCTAGCTCACAGGGTTGGTATGAGAACGAATGTAGCTAAGGTAATCAAAATGTCTAGCATGCCGCAGAGCCCACACTGGTAAATGTTTGAGTTGGTCCAACCTGAGTCTAAAGACTAACTGCCATGTATCAACCAAGAGACCATAGGCCAGCTACTTGAAATCTCTCAACCCCAATTTCCTCCTCTGTAAAGTGGGGATAATAATACTTAACATCACAGGGTTGGTGTGAGGATGTTGTTAAATAATGTATGTCTACTGCAGCTCAAATGCCTTCTCAGGCCTTTCTTGACCACCCCATTTAGAAGAGCCCTTCATAAGTCACCATATTCTTCATAGCATTTCTTATGATCTGAAATTGGCTACTTTTTAATTATCCATGAGGGTAAATTGTTTGTCTTATCTTGTCCCCAGTGCCTAGAATAGTGTGTAACCCATAGAAGGTGCTGAATAAATGTTTGTAAATGAATTTATATAAAAGATTCTCAATAGTGGCAACTATTATTAGATATCCTTAACTATGTCTAGTACTGAATATTATTTTAAATACATTTTAATTAGACTTTGCCTCCTCAGAGCTCTGAAATGTTTTTTCAATGCCCTATATTTTCCATATGTTTGGACAATTTTATAATAGAAGTAGCTTTACAGAAAGGAATTATTTTAATGGGAAAACTAGGTTAAACTAAAAAATATAAATAAGTAAAGGACACCTTCATCAGTAGGGAACTGGATTTTAGGACATCTATATAAAGGAAAGAATGAGGTAGAACTCTCTATACTTATGTGAAAGGCTGTCCACATGTAATCATGTAAGAATAAAGTTATAGAACAATATGTATAGTGTAATCCTGTTTATGTAAAAATGGTTCTAAGTGTATTCATGTACTCATATCTGTATGTGTAAATGTATATATTTGCAGATACATAGAAAATTGGAGCAGTATACACAAGTGTTGAGATCGGGGAGGGGAAATCTCTCATCTTCGACATTTCTGCACTGACTCTTTTACAATAAGCACGTATTCTATAAGTAAAATTAAATATTTTTTCAGAAAGGAGGAAAAACATAACTTGAATGCATCTAAGAAAAGAAAAAGTACTGTAAAATCTATAAAAATATAAAGTACTACAAAAATCTAAAGAACCAAATGTTGATAGTTGTAGAGCTTGAGAAATTCTAGGATTGAGGAATTTCTGAGAAAAAGTTGAAACAATACAGGTCCAGAGTTAGGTAGAGACTCAGGACTCCAACCCTGATGAGAAAAGTAGTACACAGCCATTGTTTTATCATGGGCCATCCATCAGCTTATCAGCGGAATGAGGGTGTGTGATCTATAGAGATGAACTTCCTAGAAAGTCATAGGTCTAAGGTAAAGTAAAGGTCCAAGAGATCAGCAACTGTCTTCAGGAATGCTGCGCTGGCCAATACCTACCTTCAAGGCCTCACTCATCCCTCGGCCAATCACAAGGGTCTGCACACCTTTCTTGACTACTTCCTCCACATCTGCAGGCTGTACACCAGGAGAATGCTGGGTGTGGAAAGAAAAAGTATACCAGCCACCTGCTCTTTGAATCTTTCTTTGCAATCGGCTTCTTGTGGGATTCATTCATTCACCCATTCATTCGCTGCAGAAATGTTTATTGAGGTTTAGTCTGTGCCAAGCTGTGTTCTGGGCCTGGGAATAACAAGATACAGTGCTGCCCTTAAGCAGTTCTAAGTCTAGTGAAAAATATAGAAGACTAAGAAGAAATTTAAATAGTTTTACAAGTGCTACAAAGAAGTAAGTTCAGGGTGTCGTAGAACCTAGAGAAAGAGCACCGAATTCAGACTGGGTGTGTGGAAGAGACTATACTGTTCCAGTGACATGACTGCTGTCTGTCGTGCAAGCTGGGCCCAGGCCAGAATGGAGGTTGCTTTCCGTAACCATCCCCCTTAGAGACCGCCTGACCGTGAATCATGTTCATTCTGACATAAATCAGCTCCCCTCCCTTGCTGTGTGAGGTTTCTGGAGCAGGTTTTCCTGACCTGGTCAAACATGTAATTTCCCATTGGAAGCATTCACGTACTGGTACCCGTGACTATCCTCCCCCCATTTATCCTATATAATTCTCTGGTGCTTGCCAAGTGGTGCATGGATCCATTTTGTATTGCAGCTGCCCACGACATGCCTCATATGTAAGTTTCCCTTCATGAACTATTAATTACCAGATGGGAATGGCCAGCCTCTTTTTCATTCTGTCTCTGCCCTCCACTTATGAAGGTAAATTTTCAGTCTCGGGGCTTTTCTCTGGGTTTGCATGTGTAATAGGGGGTCAGGGAAGGCATCCCAGAGGGCATGATATTTAAACTGAAACCTAAAGGACAAACAGGAATTAGCCAAGCTAAAGGAAAGCAGGGAACAAGGCACTCCAAGTACAGGGAATAGCATGTACAAAGGCTCAGAGGAAAGAAACACCTAGTGAACTACAGGTAGTTCTGTATGACTGGAGGGTAATTGACAGGTGAGGGAGTAGGAAGAGATGAGGTGGGAGAAGAAAATACTTGGACACCATGCCAAAATTTGGACCGTGGAAAGATTTCATAAGAATCCCCATATTGGGGGGCCGGCCGAGTGGCGCAATGGTTAAGAACTGGCTTGGGACGCCAGAGGGCCCCGGTTCGGATCCCACATACGAGGGCCAGTGACACTGCCCTCTACAGCTAAGATGCTGAACAACAGCTCAACCTGGAGCTGGGCTGCTGTGAGTCGCCGGTGACGGCGTAGGCTGCAGTCCCTGTGGCAGTGGGTTGCCATGGGCTACCGTATGTAGCCAGCAGCCAGCGTGAGCGGCCAGCAGCCGCAGTGAGCGGCCGTCCAGAAGCCGGACTGATGTGTCTCACCCGGGAAGAGCGCAATGATGGTGCCAACTTGGGCCAGTGAAGCAACGTCCTCCACAACTAGACTGAAGAACAAAACCACAGCAACTTGTCTGTTCCCCTTCCCCCAATTCCCCAGCACTGTTCCCATCCCCCCAATTCCCCAATAAAAATCTTTAAAAAAAAAAAAGAATCCCCATATTGGTTCCTTTTTCTGAGCCCCTTTCCCATTTAGCTCCAGGAAGAACTCTATTGATGCTTTAAAACCTACCTATCATGACTCTAAAGATTTCCCAGATCCTCCCACGGACATTTAAGGTAAGGTGTTTAACAAAGATTCATCCAACATTAAAGTATGGTGGCTTCTGAACTGCTTCCACCTCAGCAAAGGGGATCTGGGAGTTAAAAGTTTGGGAAATACCAGCCTACCTACTGGGCTTTACCTATTATGTATCTGCACAAGGATGACACTCAGCACTGAAGCTCAGGGACACAAAGCCTTTCTTCCCTGATCTGTCTACTTCTTTCATTCAGACAACAAGCATTTACTGAGCGCTTCCTCTGCACTGGGCCCTATACCAAGCACTGGAGATACTGAGATGAAGCAGATAGGCCTAGGAGGAATTTTAGTCAGGTAAGGTTAGTGAATATGTGGAAATAGTTACAAAAGAATGGGATAAAATAGAGTTGAGGTTCTCAGAGGTAATACGAGTGGGAAATTGTCAGGGAAGACATGCTGTTTTATCTGGGTCTTGAAATAGGAGTAGAACTGGGCATCGATGCAGTAGATGTGGAAGGGTGCATTCTGACCATACTTAGACATGGTATAGGGAAAGAGCTGCTGAAAACAGCACATGTGACTTCACTGGTGAACTCTCATTTAAACATTCGATGGAAATCCTCAAGAAGACATTAGCAAATCCAAGGTTGGTTCAACATTACAAAATAGATGTACTTCACCACAGAGTACAGAAGCAGCATGTAATCATTTCAATTGATGCAGAAAAAGCATTTAACAAAGTTTACCATATGATTGTAAAAAAGTTCTCAGCAAATTATTGGGTTGTTGGAAAAGTCATGACTTACTGTTTTGTTTGTTTTTTTGTTGCAAAAATGCGTCATGACTTTTCTGACAACCCAATAGAAGGGAAATCTCCTTAGATGAAGGACATCTAAGAGAAACCTACAGCTAAACATCAAATGTAATGTTAAAATATTAAACATTTTCTCTCAAGGACTGGGACCAACTAGACAGTTACTTCCTTATTATCTCTTGGACATGTCCATTCCTCTCCATCTCCACTGCCACTACCCTAGTTCAAGCTTCTGTCACCTCTTGTTTAGACTATGCAGTAACTTTCTAACTGGTCTCTATAAAGCCACTTTAGCCCTTTACAATTATCTGTTCTTCAACTGTGGCCAAAGGGATCTTTTAAAAATACAAATCCATTCATGTCACCCCTCTGCTTAATAGCATTCAATGACTTCTTAGAACAAATGCCAGACTCCTTCATGTAGTCACTTCCTGGCTGCCTCTCCAATCTCAATGCATACCACTTCCTTCATGTTCCATACTCTGGTCACACAGGCTTTCTATCAGTTCCTCAACCATAGCATGTTCTCTTCTCACCACTGTGAAGAAGAGGAAAAGAAAATCTACAGGCTGGGAGAAAACATTTGCACATTACATACTTGACAAAGGACTTGTATCCAAAACATATAAAGAACTCTCAAAACACAACAAGAAAACAATACGATTTTTAAAAACGGGTTAAATATTTGAACAGACACTTTCCCAAAGAAAATGTATGGATGGCTATGAAGAACATGAAAAGACATTCAATATCATAAGTCACTATGAAAGGGCAAATTAAAACTACAATGAGATATCAGTTGATGGTGAGGACAAATCAGATCTCATACATAGCTAGTGGAAATGAAAAATGTAGTGCTACTCGGGTAAATCTGGCATTTTCTCATGATGTTGAACAGATACTTAATGCAACTCAGCAATCATAGGCCTGGGTATTATCCTAGAGAGAAAACTCACATTCACACAAAAACCTATACATGAGTGTTTATAGCTGCTTTATCTGTAATCGTCCTAAACTGGAAACAACCCAAATACTCCTCAACTGGTGAATGGATAAATAGCTTGTATTATAATCCAAACAGTGGATTACTACCCCGCAATAAAAAAGGACAAATTATTGATACGTGACATGGATGAATCTAATGTATTATGCTAAGTGAAAAAAAGCAAGTCTCAAAAGACTATATACTATATGATTCCACTGCTATGACAAGTAAAGGCGACACGTATTAGGTCAATTGGCAAAATATTAATAAGATCTATATAGTAGGTAATAGTATTATGTTAGTGTTAATTTCATGATTTTGATCATTGTATTGTGATTATGTCCAGAGAATGTCCTTGTTTTGGGGAAATACAGGGATTTAGGAATAAAGGAGTATAATATCTGCAACAATTCAGAAAAACATCGATGGAGAGGATGATAAAATGTGATCAAGTATTAACATTTGGATTTGGGTAAAAATAAGAATTCTTTGGACTATTCTTGTAACTTTTCTGTAAGCCTGAAATTATTAACAAAATAAACAGGAAATTTAAAAGTAAATAAACAAAATACAAAATAAAGCAGGAAGAGACCACATACAGCCACACACTTCCTGATTTATTTAGCCAAGGAAACAAAACCTAACAGAAGCCAGGTGGCTACAAAAGCAGGAGCAGATGCAGCATATCTTCGTATCTTTGCTGGCTTTCTCCATGTCTCTTGGTTCCCTGTGGGTAGTGCAACTGCTGCTGACATTCTTCCCTTAGTCATGAACGCTCCAGAGCTGATAACAAAGCCAGTCTCATTAGCATGCTTTCATGTAAAGACTTACCTCATCAGCACCTTCCTAAGGAACTTCTACTAAGACTGTATGAGTTTATGTTTTAGGCGAATATCAAAGAGTGTTCTAAGAACAGCTGCATGTCAAAGAGTGAAGCAAACCGATCAGCAGCAAGGGTACAGCCTCCTCCTGGGGGAGGATGCACAGCAGTGCCCAGGTGTCCGGCCAGGATCTCTGCCTCCAGCTTTCCCCATTCCCCACAAAGAAGAGATTGGGAGAGATCAGACTCTTTTTTTTTTACTGAAATATAAAAAAGTTATTTAGGTTCATACCTTTTTTAAAGGCAAAACAAGAAAGGAATTGTTTTCACTTGATGGTAATAATTGATTCTAAAACAATGGAAGAGGATTGGATTAGATGCCCTTTTTAGTTCCACGGCTCTGTGATCAATCCTAGAACCACTGTGAGCTGAACAGTGATATGAAGAACCTAAAAATTTTTTTCTAGGACTATGACCAAGGTAATTGTTTAATAGAATTACGTACGGATCAGGGTTGGAGGGCTTCACCTTCCATAAGTAAATGCATGTACCTGAATTGTTGAATGATTCCTTCATTTAACAAAAAATAGCAACTACTTTGAGGAGCACCACGATCCCCAGGCTCTAAAAGCTCACATTCTAATTAATACAAGGAAACAAGGCCACAGCTCAGAAAAAAAGTGAAAGGTCGTAAGAGAGTGCAAAACCATCATCATCTGGAGATTCAGAGATTGGACACAGCAGCAGCCCATCAGGGGTGCCAATAAATGAAC